CTTGCGTCGACTAAGTAGCAAGAAACGTAAGTGTATCAAACGATCGATGTACCTTGTGTATAAGCACATTAGTATTTCATAATTTTATTGCTTCAGATTTATAAAGTTTTTACATATTTTGAACCGTTACAGAATTATTAATCTTTAAACTGAAATTTTAAATTAATTATTATAGAATAATGAGAAATATTATTACGTCTATTAATATAGTTGCTCTAGAAATTTATTATAAAGGGTATTAAAAAATACAGCTCTTATATATGTATATATAATAAACAGCAAATTTTATATTCAAAATATTTTACAAAATATAAAATCTCGTTTATTTTTCACGATATTTTTATATAACATGAGAACAATTTATTTCTACAAAAGATATTTTAATTTTATTTCAAAAATGTAAATAAATCTATATTATTAAAACCAAAATATATTTTATTTTTTATATAATTTATTTTTGAGATATATTGATTATTGATTAGACATTTACTACTTGCTATTTAAATGCCGAGCTCTTTTTTTTAATCTTGTATAATTATCATATAATTCAATTAAATTTATTAATTAAAGTGAAATTTATTGAATAGTTAATTTTATATACGCGCGTACATATACACATACACAGAACATTAAAAAAAATTTAATTAAAATTCTATATCTAAAGATTCTGCTTTTAAATAAAAGAACTTATTTATTATGTATGTATGTTAGCAGCTCTTTGTTAATATATTATTTATAAGTGCTTCAATTTTTTCTTCAATAATAATTCTGTGAAATTTTCTTATACATTGTCATGTCATCAAAAGAAACCGATATTACCTTCATCTTATTCTTCCGAGAAAAAAAGTCTATTGTTCATCGACGCGTTTCAGAGTGTCATTCAATTTCAAGACGATTTCTCGCTGATCTGATTTCTTCGAGCGATGGACCGATTTCCACGATGACGCGTTTAATAAATGTCGTCAAGTATATATATGCCGCTTTATGTATCGAGAGCGCGTGATCCTCTGACATTTACATCGCCTCTTGGCGGTACCGTATTTACTCTTGGTCGCACCTTCCGTGTGTGATGTGGTTTTTCTATCTATTCGAGAGTGAGAACATATCGAGAAAGCAGGAAAGAGAGAGAGAGAGAGAGAGAGAGAGAGAGAGAGAGAGAGAGAGAGAGAGACAAAAGGGTTAAAAGGAAAGTCGATGGGTATCTGTTATCCTCGATATTGCTTCACGCGAAGCGTCGAGGGAAGTTCTTTTCGTTACGGTAACAAACTGAATATTAATTGTAAAATTTATGTAAATGACAAATAAATATGTTGTAGTCATACGAAGTAATGCAATGAAGTGTGTGATAATAAATTTGGTATATTTCGTGTAGGCAATAAAAACGATTACCTATTATATTAAAACGGTTAACGGTTACTCACACACTGATGATTTTTTTAATTTAATACTTTCTTTAATATTTTTTTTTTCTATATATTTAATTATTATGTATTGTAAAGTAAAAAAATTATACAAAAATTAAAATCATTTTATAATATTACACTTATGATTGTGTATAATATCTGATAATTAATCATATTAGTTATACTAATAATAGAACATTGTAAAGTCTCAGAATATGTCATACAAATCGCATTCAGTAGGTCTAATCATAAAAGATTGCTTCGAACTCTATTCTGCCGCTTTTCTCTGGCTTGATTAATCCCTCGATTAATCCCTTTTTTATTATCTGCGCAGCCTATTTCGTTAAATCGAGCACGATTGCCTCTGACGACAAAGAAACCTTCGTATAACAAGGGACGCCCCCTTAAGCCGTGCGAAATACCACCATGAGGACCGATATATAGATATTTTCTGAAGCTTTCTTGCTTCACAGGTAGGGGCTGCATACTACGGGAAAGGTCGAAGTCTCCTCCGATGCGCGCGTAACGCGATAAAAGGATCCGCAGCGTACGCGATGCAGCTGCAGCACCGCTTCGTTGCGCTTTTTGTCGCAAGCTGGATTTAGCTAGCTACATGACTGACTAGTCGGCTGGATTTTCTAGCCTCGACTGTCGCTTGACCCATTTTCTTCACACGATGGATAAGCGCGATGTTTACTCGGGTTTTTTTTAGTCCCTTTCAAGAACCTTGATAATTATTCTGAGGTTCTACCTAATTTTTTCGAAATTTTTAGTAGAAACACATTCAAAATATTAATTAAAATAACTTTTTATTACTATATCTCGGTTTATACTTGGAAAGTATAAAAAGGTGTATATCTTGGTAAAAAGTACAAAAATATATTATAAAGTGAAAAGATAAAGTAACGTGAGATGAAATTCATTTAAAATCAATGAAAAATTAATAAATAAAATA